CGGATGACAAACCCCAAAGGTGGCCCCGTGCCACCCCAGCACGCCCCGCTGAGGGAGCGGCACAGCCTCCTGGCGCTCAGGCCCCGGAGGCTCTGGGAAGGGCTGGGACGTGTCCGGCCTCACCCGATCCGCTCCTGCTCCATCTCTTCCATTTTCTCAGCCCGTGCGATCACCCTGTTGATGATTTCCTTCTCCTCATCTGTCAGCTCTTCCTGCTTCCTCTGTCTGTCGGGCTGACCACCAGGGTGGACGGACCACCCTGCCTGGAGCCTGAAAAATAATTCGGGAAGGCATCGGGCTGCGGAGGAACCCCAGCGAGCAGCGTGGAACAGTGGTTAGGCCCTAGGCCCTGGAGTTTGGTAAACCCCAGGCCAAAACCTTGCTGGGAGACTCCCGGACTGGGAGACTCTGGGCCAAAGAACCGTATCTCTCGGAGCCTCGGTTTGCTTATCTGCGCAATGGGCTTATTTTTATGATGTGCTTCGTTCATGGCGGACATTCCACAAGCTGCATTTGCAGGAAGCTCGTAGAAACCTGGAGGTTACGTTCGCGGTGAGAGTCCAGAGCAGCACACCGCAGCGGCCTGGGCGGAAATGATTCTGGGAGGGCGGTGGGAAGCCCTGGGCCCCGGGTGGACCCCAGCCCCTGCCCGGCAGGAAGATGTTTGGTTTGGGCCATAGATTTTTAAAAATTAATTTAAACTGGTTGCTGCAGTTGCGCGTAGTCAAGATAAAAATCTCCAGATTTCCAGTCTCAAAAGCTTCCACATCATTTTGAGTTCCATCCTATGCTCTTCTTGGCTTTTTAAAAAAATAAAGCGAATAGTGACATAGTACCTACCAGGTGACCACGTTACCTCATTTAATCTCACAACATCCCCACGTTACTGTATTTAGTCCTCACGTCACCCCTACTGTGTGTCCATATTACCTCTAATGCATCATCCCTACTGTGCGCTTGCCTTACCTCATTTAATCTTCACAACATCCCTACAAGGCAGAGATTATTACCGTCTATTTACTTGTGAGGAAGCTCAGACAGGGAGAAATCAGACGATTTGCCCAAGGTTACGTGGCCAGGAAGTGGCAGAGGTGGGATCAGACCTGGGCAGCCTGCGCACTTAACCCCCACACCTCGGAGAGACCTGAATGCCCGCCCCTGAAGAAGCCCCGTGACGGCGCAGAGGATCAGAGGCTGCTGGGTGGAGGGCGGCGGTCTACAGCAAATTATGCTCATCCCCACCAATAATAGGGTCCATGCCTCAGGGCACCAGGGCGCATCACTCAAGTAGAATGCAGGGTTAAAAAACTCTAGAAATTCCTGTCCCCATTAGGGAAGAAAATCAGTAACTACGAATCCTCCAGAGCCAGCACCGCACGCTGCCGGCCTCCGTTACTGCCACTGCCCTAATCACATCAGTAGGCATGAAATTGCCTGTTGACACTCAATGTTGGAAATTAAAAGCCCCATCTTCCTCCCCCCACCTCGACCATCTTCCCATCTTGGCTGGTTTGTTCTCAAGAGCAGAAAAGGAAGAGTTTAAAAGCAAAGGGAAGCAGATGTCTTGAGGCAAGTCTTCATGGAAAAAAGGGAAGGAGGATGAAATCCTGGTGGAAACATGTCTTGCCTTGGAGCAGGGCCTCTGGGGATGGACGAATGCTAAACGAGCTCCAGCCCCCTGCTAAATACCTTCCAATGCCTCCTCGCTGACTTAGAATGAACACCCAGCACTAGATAGAGGTGGGGTTTGGACGACATTGTGAATGTGCTAAATGCCACTGAATTGTCTACTATAAAATGATTAATTTCATGTTATGTGAACTTGACCTCAATGCAACTACGAAGGGGATGGACGAATGCTAAACGAGCTCCAGCCCCCTGCTAAATACCTTCCAATGCCTCCTCGCTGACTTAGAATGAACACCCAGCACTAGATAGAGGTGGGGTTTGGACGACATTGTGAATGTGCTAAATGCCACTGAATTGTCTACTATAAAATGATTAATTTCATGTTATGTGAACTTGACCTTCATGCAACTACAGCTGGGGCTTCCTGCCCACCCGCAGTCCTACCTGATCTGTCCTTGACCTGCCTCCACCCCCATCGCCCCTTCTCTCCTTTATCACCCCAGTCCTGCCACACTGGCCTCCCTGCTCCATCTTGAACCCTGAAACCTCGTTTTTGCCTTGGGGCCTTTGCACTTGTTGTCCCCCTCTCCAGGAACACTCATCTCCCCGGATCTCTCCATGGATGACTCGTCATTCGGGTACCGGCTCACATGTCAACTCCTCAGAAAGGCCTCCCTTGATCCTTCAGTGCCCAGGTTCGTTTTCGTCACTGCTGCCATCGCTAAGTGCAATTATCTTTTTAAGGACTTGTGTTGTTTACCTGTTTATTGCCTCTCCCCGCTCCCACCAGGATGTAGTTTCCAGGAGGGCAGGGGTCTTGTCTGGGCCTGGGTCACTATTGTGTCAATGACATTTAGGATAGTATCTGAGAGTAAGTAAGCACAGTTTTGTTTTTTTTTTTAAATAAAAGGGACATTTGTTTGTTTGTTTGTTTGTTTATTTGTTTAAATAAAAGGGATGTTAAATGTCTAATTATAAGTGTGACTCATGGGGAGATCAAAGCAATAGAAGTTATTAGTGTCGGAGATCAGGGAGAACTCCCTGAGGAAATGACATCTACGCTGGGGCCCTGGTGAGGATTCCCTGTGATGCTGGTGAAGCTCAGATGTGGGACTCTGTTTGCAAAGGCACCTTCCGAGACCCTGGGAAAGACCCGAGCAATGGTCATGAGACCTGAAAAATATGCAAAAGCGAGATATTTTTGTCTTCTTTATCTTGAAGAGACCCCCCTAAATTTTGTAAGCTTCAGGCCTCACGAAGCTATAGCTGGCCCTTGCTGAGACCTCAAAGATAAGCTGGAGTTGATGATGGGGGAGGCAGAGGAAGAGACTAAGCCTGGCAGAGGAATGGTCTTTACAAGGGCCTGGAGGTGAGAGAGTGGGTGGCGTGCCCGAGGAGGTGAAGGAAGACAGATACGGTGGCCACCCTACAAGATGGTCCCCAAGGAGCCCTGCCTCCTGGTATTCACGGCCTCCCCGTACAGTCCCCTCCCACACTGAATCCCAGCTGGTCCTGTGTGACCAGCTAACTACAGTGGAAGTAACGGTGTGTGACGTCCAAGGCTAGGTCACAAAAGACATTGCAGTGTTTGCCTTGGTCTGCTGAGTCCCTCACTCTAAGGGGAAGCCAGCTGCCACGCTAGGAGGGCACTCAAACATCGCACGGGTGGAAAGGCCCATGTGGACAGCAGCTGAGGCCCCCAGCCAACAGCCAGCGCCAACTCGCCAGCCGTGGTTGTCCGTCTCCCAGCCTCCGTCAGGCCCCCACCTGAGACAGAACCGCAACGACACGTGGAACCCTGGGCCAGAACCACCCAGCTGAGCCGCTCTCAGTTCCCGCCAACAGAAACTGTGAGGCATAATAAATAGTTTCCTTTGTTTCAAGCCGCTAAGTTTGCGTGATCTGTTCTGCAGCTTTAGATAACTGGAAAAATGAGCCCGCTGGAAGACAGACAGGGAGGCGCAAATGACCACCTATAATGTCTGTATACGTTTCCTATGCTGCATAACGAATTATTACAGACAAGGGCTTCACACAACACACATGTATTATCTCACGGGTTCCATGTCAGGAATCTGGGTAGAGCTTAGCTGGGTCCTCTGCTCAGCATCCTACAAGGCTGCAGTCAGGTGTTGGCTGGGCTGCATTCTCATCTGGAGGCATGACTGGGGAAGAACAGGCTTCCGGGCAAATCTGGGTTGTCGGCAGAATTCATTTCTTTGCAGCTGTGTGACTGAGGGCTCCGGCTTTTTATCAGATGTAGGTAAGAGGCCACGCCCACGTCCTGGAGTCGGCCTGCAATTCCTAACTAAGGGGGCTTCTTCAACGTCATCCTGGGGGCTGCTCCCTTTGCACAGTTTGCAAGGTGAATCTCTGGCTCTTGTAAACCTAGACAGAGTCTTTCGTGACATAACATCATCACGAGGGTACATCACGTCCCCTCTGCCATATTCTATAGGTTAGAAATGTCCCAGGTCCCACCCACACTCCAGGCGAGGGGATTACACAAAGGCGTGAACCCCAGGAAGTGAGGACCAGTGGGGTCACCTGAAAGTCTGTCTGCCACAGCCTCCCTGGCAGGGGTCCTTCCAGCCTTGCTTAGATGCTCCCCGCAATGGAGACCTCACTCTCGCATAAGGAGTCTGTGCTGTTCTGTGAGAAAGATCTTCCTTTACCCTGTGTTTCAGCCTGATATTTCTTCCCACTACTTTTAAAGGATACACTGGATTCTGATGTAATGGGAACCACCCATCCTTCCCAAAGAGCCTTAGTCATAACCTAATCCAGCCACCTGCCCAGGTCCTTCTAGGTTACCATGGAAACGGATGCCTTCACTGCCCCTCGTTTTCCTCCGTCCCTACTTTTCTTCCTCATTCTTTTCTGATCCCGCTCCATCTATTCCCTGCTTTTACAAAGCAGCTCAGTGACCAAAACAGAGTATAGGTGAGATCCGGGGCCTCGTACCCAGTGGAGAGCCCTCCAAGGGCACTGTCCTGCAACTGGCCATCGGGTCGCAGGCACGCTCAACCCTGGGCCAGACCTGAAGCCAGTGTCTCTCACCCCACCGCACAATTCGCTGGGGTCAGGGTGTGCAGGAGTCGGGTGCTGCTGGACAGGCATGGCTCTAGGAACATAAGTGGAGTGGGGGGGGGTTCCCCAGAGGACCCACTAGGATAATTGCCTTAGTCTGCTCTGCAGACGAGCAGAAGGCCTGTTGGAGGCTGCCGGCACCTCTCCAAAACCCTGCCCCCTCCTCTGTTTCAAAACGTGAACGAACAGTTCATCCAGTGCTTGAAAATGTCTCCGACTGGTCCCACCTGGTACGTGGAAACCTCCTGTGGATTTGCATGCTTTAATCCCAAAAGCAAACAGACGGAAACAGATGGTTTTTCGAACCAAAGCCCTTGCTCTCAAGGGAGAAATTGGGCCTGTCTGGGCACCCCCTGGGCTGGGGAGCACTGTGAGCTTGGGGACCTCAGGAATGCTCCTGTGACAAGGTGGCGGCTTCTTTGTCAAAAGCCTCTGGACACAGGCTTCCAACTCCACGGCCCTAACACCAGAGTCCAAAGTTGGGAACTTGTTTAAGACTGAAGCTGGAGACAAGGTATGGATTCCTTGGGCAAGTTACTCAGAGCGCTGTATCCAAGCCAGAAAATACCCAGAGGCCCTGCGTGCAGCAACGTGAGCCTCCTTGATCTGGAGAAGTTCAGGACTGGAATCCTAGACCTGCTGCTCATTGGCCACGTGCATTGGAGCTCTGCCCTGCTCTGGACGTTGGCTTCGAGATCTGTTCAGTGAGAATGATTCCATGTCTGTTTCCTGCTGGGACCCTCAGAGGCTGCATGAGGAGGAGCCCCTGGCTTACGGCTGAGACAGGTCAGAGCAGAGAGGGCTGGCCTGTCTCCACTCTTACTCACATACTTAGGACAAGGCTTCCCGGAGAAACAGTGAAGGGCACCTGCCTCCTACTCTCCAAAACTGTCTAAGCCACGGTTTTCGAGCTGTGCTCTGCAGGGATCTCAAAGGGCTATGGGGGAGGGGGTCATAGAGCGACAGGGTGGGCAGGAGACCAGGCCCTCCATCCCCTCATCAGCCAGACTTGCTTTGGTCAATAAAATAAAGTGCCAGTCCTGAAGCTAAGCCTGCAAAGGCCCTGTGTGCTTCTGCTTACTCTCCTACACCTCTGCCATGACCATGACGACAAGCTCCGGACAGCACGTTGCAGGATGAGAGAGATGGAGCAGAGCTGAGCCACTCCGGCCACAGCCATCCTAGATCAGCCAGCCCTTTGACTGCCTGAGAAAGCCCAGCCAAGATCATCAGAGCCACCAGCTGAGCCCAGATCCTTGAGAATAAATAAATGTTCTATGCCACTGAATTTTAAGATGGTTTGTTACACAGCAAGAAAATGGGAAGCTGGTTAGACTCCCTACATTTACTTTTTACAGTTCGGTATTATTTTATAGTTGTACAAAGTTCACCATGATGCGTTTGATGCTCTTAGCTGCTAATGTTCTTTATCCAGCTCCGCTCTTATCTGTCTTGTATATTTAGCTTCTGAATAAAATATTATTCGAAGAAAGACTTTTGCTGCTAACAAAAAACCTGAAGATCATTGCGACTGACCTGCTCACTTTCCACGTGCCTGCTCCTCAGAAGATAAAGGGGACCGATGAGAAGCACACGTGGGGTAAGTATGGTCAGAGGCTGGGGAAAGCAGCATCCTGGACATGCTTGATCTGCTACCTGAACATACCTGCTCAGGTGCCTCTAGAGTGGGTCAGAAGGAACCCTCCCACCAAAACCAGCATCGGTGGCCCCTAAGACAAAGGGAATTAGTCCTGACTCCAGGTGGAAGCCCCTCGCAGATGCACAGATGTTTCTCCCTCAAATACCGCAAAGCGTAGACTCCCAGCTCCTTTCCACCTCCCGCCGTAATTCTTTATTTCATGCACACAATAGTCACGTAATAAATACCCACCAGATGTCTCTATTAATAAATTATAACTCCCAAAAGGAGTGGGATGATGGAAACGCTGTCGGGGCGCCGAGGCTCTGAAGCATTAAACAGCGGTGCTTGCAGAAAATTAATCCTGTTCCTTTCCTTTCTTATTCCGATCCCTGCCCTTCCCCTAGGATGCCATATAGGCAGGTGTCGGGGGAAGTCACTTTACAGCTCAGTGAATGAGGTTTTAATGAATCCCGAAGGAAAGGATGGGGAAGGAGGGGCGGCCACCTCACACAAGGTTTTTCACATGCCCTGCCTGTGTCAAGGCCCTTGGGGATGAAATTTACCCCGACCAGACTAAAGGGGGCACGGAGGGAGGCTGTGGTTCCCCCACCCACTCCAGAATGCTAAGGGCATCTCGGACTCCCAATCCTCTTTTAAGCCAGACTCAGTTCACTGAGTTCTTTTACAATGCCACGCTCTCCCTCATACTTGGACTTTGCACATGCTGTTCCCCTACCTGGAACTCCTCTTCGCCTTGCTCTGCCTGCCCTTCGCCTCGTCTTACATTTCACTCCTCCCATCAGGACTCCGCAATCTGGGCTAGGTGCCCCTCCTGTGCTTTCTCGGCCCACTGTGACCCCGCTATCGTCCCGCCTTGCACACGGGAGTGTATTTGTCGGTGACTGGCCGTTTGTTTGTTTGTTTGTAGACCCCTCTAGACATGCAGTCCTATTTCATCCACCCCTGGGTTCCTAGTGCTTAAGACAGTGCTTGATACATAGTAGACACTCGGTGAATATTTGTTAATGAAGGGAGGAAGGAAGAAAAGAAGGAAGAGAGGATGCACATACACTCTATCTTTCAATTTTCAGTATTCAGGAAGCCTCTGTGAGCCTTGGGACCCTCTGAAGCCATGAGCTTCTCCCTTGTGGCGTTCATGTTTAGAATCTGACAATGTTGCGACATCTCTTCCTGGCATGTCTGAATGATATACTCACAATATTAAAAAAAAAAAAAGCAGCTCTAAGTTGGCCAGGGTCTTCCTAGACAACAGAGATTGCAGAACATTCAAATGGTGTTTAGCAATCAACTCATTTAAAGCTCCCACTTGACAGAAGGAGAAACTGAGGCACCTAACTGGGAAAAGAATTTCCCAGAGTCACTTTATCAATGTAAAGAAAACCTTTAGGGGATTCTGGGCCTGCCGATGTGGTCATTTGGGTCCAAAGAGGTTGAACAAATTATGCAAGTGCTATATATACACATACACATGTGTTTGTGTGTGTATGTGTATACACAATGTAAACATACAAGGTACATGTAATATATGTATATGTATGTACGGTGTATATATATACATAAACACAAGGGTAAGACAAGGTTGTGATTCACACCTCCCCCTGGCTTTGCTCAGCGCTTTACAGTTTACAAAGCTTTCCCATGCATCTCATTTGATCCCACCACCACTGGGTGAGCGGGGAAGGGCAGGATTATCAAACCCATCTTACAAAGGAGACAGGTGCAGGGCAATGCCCAAGGCCACACTGACACTGAGTAGCAGAGCAGGACTCAGACTGGGTCTTCTGCCTCGAGACCTGCCCTCTGCTTGTGGCTCCGTGATAACCTCCCCATCGTGGGGAGGGGAAAAGTGACTTTCCATAGTTTCTGGAAGTGCACACCCTACTGAAGCCCAGTCTGCTCTGCAGCCTGGCTGTTCATCTATTGGACCAGCATGCATGTTTAGGAAATTAATCCAATTTCAAACAACAAGAGTTGTGAGCCAAGATAGGACCTCTGAGCCAAAGGCATTTCAGTAGGGAATCAGGCTGACCTGCCCTGAGGTGACAGAGACCCTACAGATAGCACGTAACTTCCCACAAGCTCTGTTCTATTCATCATCATTTTTTATTAAAGGGAGCAGTTATTTGAATTAACATTTTTCTTCATCTAAGAACAGTGTTCCCAGGCAAAATGCTGCAGAAATGAGGGGCAGAGATTGGTCAAAAAACTTGTTGAAATCCCACGAGTTACTAACAAGAATTAAATCGAGGGCTCTCCTAAGATTATTTTCCATCCTTTTATCAAGAATTTCATAATTCGTTTCTCAAAAAGGGGTGTGCATTTTCTTAATAACTTAAATATTTTTAGATATGTAAAATTTGCTAGTTCCTTGTCTAATCACCTCTCTTTAGGGGTGAGCCACTTTGATCAGAAAAGAGATACAGGTCAGTTGGTAGAAAAATAAAAGTATCATAAAATACTCACTGTTCTTTATCACTGAAGGAAGGCCAAGAAAGGAGAGAAAGAAAAAATAGAGTTAGGAAAGAAATCTCATAACGACGCCAACGCCGTCTGGATGCAAAACCACAGAGTTTAAATTACGATGACCTACTTCCGTTTCTGCCCCTAGTCGTTATAATGTCTTATTTCAGCACATCTAAAACAAGACTACGGCAATGGAGGCTTGTGAAATCCACAGCTTCGATTAAAATGACCAACCAGTTCGGCGTATTAATTAACCGAGCTGATCATTTCTGTATTTAAATAACAGGTCTGGGGCACTAAAGAGAAATCACTTAATGATAACATGGCCAACGTCGTTCTTGGTTACTGGTGTTTGAAACACTCGGGGAGAGAAGGAACACTTTGAGGGGGGGCGATGAGCCCTGAACAGTAATTAGATCATGCAAAAGTGGAACTTGCAGCGTCCCAGTTTTGGGAAGCAAATCTTGATTCCAGGAAGGAAACCGGCATCTCATTTATTAGTTGTGCAGCCACAGACAGGTCACACTCTCTCTTTGTGCCTTAGTTTCCACCTCTGATCTCGCACTCTCTGGCTTGAAGACTGGAAAGCTCTAGAGAAGCATCAAATGTCCATCATTTCTCCCCATGTATTCCCAACATAAAGAGCTGAACCACTGCCCTATCCAGGCGAGAAGCAGACACCGTCACTGCTGTGTTTCACACACCACCATCAGGTTCCCAGTGGCTGAGAGAGGAAGGCATCTGAAAATCACAAAAGCTGTAAGTGTATCTGGCTAGCCAGCAGTTAATTAAGCCTAGATTTCTTAATTCGCTGGAGAAAGACATTAGATGCGTCTGCATTACCACATCTCCATTGCAACAGACTGGATAGCATGTTTGATGACTATAATTCACCCACTAGCACTTATTGGAAAATAATTTTAATATCTGAAGAAAATGCAGTAGCAATCAAGCCAGCCAGATGCATTCAGAATGCCAAGATGTTTCACAGGAGCCCAGGAATGCTTTAATAAAATTGCATCCAGGCTATTTGAATAATTCTAATTTAATCATAAAGCAAATTGTTTGGCTTTGTATTGACTAAAGTAAACTCTGATGGATGGGATTTTAATGAACTGACATCTCTACAATAAAATAAATATTTTACCCCATCTACCCTTCAGGCAACTGTTTATCTTACAGAGACACACTTTGGGGCTGATGGAGTATTTTCTGCAAAATAAGTTTGGCTCTTTAGAGGACATTATGGGAAAGGCTTTTCTTTCAAAGAGGAAAACAATAGCGTTTAATAGTGTTTTCAAGATGGTAAAGCTTGTAGAGCTGGAGGAGGCCGTAGGCAGAAGGAGTAAAGAGACAGGAGCTGTTGCTTCCGAGAATATGGGTGGACTATTTAGAAAGACCCTTCGCCAATATACAATTAGATCTTAGATAAGTTAGAGCAAAGCTCTTCTTATGCAGCTCTGGGATTAAAAAGTAAAAGAATTCTCCACCACCCCTCTTCCAAAATAAATAAACAAAATACACTTCATCGAAATTAAAAAAAAACAAAACAAAACGTGTTCTTCTCGAAAGACTCTGTTATGAAAAAGGCAAGGCATGGACTGAGAGAAAATATTTGCAAAATGTGTATCTAACGAAGGACTTTTATCTATATAACTATGAAAAAAACTTGCAAAACTTAATAACAAGAGGATGAACGACCTGATTAAAAATGGACAAAAGGTCTGAACAGACACTTCAGCAAAGAGGTTATATGATGACAGGTTTCACAAGAAGATATGCCTGGCCGCCAGCAGAGTCATTAGGGAAATGCAATTTAAACCACGAAGAGATACCACTATTCACACACTAGAATGGTTAAAATTAAAAAGACTGATCATGTCAAGTGCTGGTGACAATCAATCCAGAAAACACTTTGTCGGTTTCTTAACAAAGTGTTTCCACATACACCTACGACATGACCTAGGCATTCTATACGTAGGTACTTAACCAAGAGAAATGAAAGCGTATGACCATCTAAAGTTTTATTTGTACTAGCCAACAACTGGAAACAACCCAGATGTCCCTTAATAGATGAATGGATAAACACACTGTGGTATCCATATAATTAAATACTATTTAGCACTAAAAAGGAACAAATTATTGATATGCAAAAATATGGATGGATAATGAAATAATTACGCTCAAAGAGGAGAGACATCTCTCCCCGCCCCCCTGAAAAGATGCATGACTTCATTTGCATAAAATTCTAGAAAATGCAAACCAATTTATAGTTACAGAAAGATTGTATTTGCCTAGGGATGGGTGGCGGAAGTGAGGGGCAGGAAAGACAGACTAGAAAGAGGTATTAGCATATACATATGTTTAAAAATTATCAAATTTTACTTCAAATGTACACTGTTGAAGGCACATTAATTATACCTTAATAAGGCAATTTTTTAGAAAAGAAAAAAAAAATCCAGCAAACTGAATCCAGAACAGGGAGCTGTGAATGGTAAGCCAATGCCAAGACCAGCACTGTGGTCCAGAGGCTGACCTTGAGCTCCTAAGGTAGAGAAGCTGAATCTGAGACACCCCTCGCCCCTCCTTTGAGTCAGGACCCTTCAAGGGAGCTCAAGCCATCCTGGGTAAGCAGCGTAACTGAATTCCGGTAGAAGGAGCAAATGCATATCTCTCTGAAGAAAAATATCCCCAAGGTCGAGCCCCAGGATTCTCACAGATTGAGCTCACAATAAAAATTTAGCAAGCATTCAAAGGAATAAGTCACATGAGTGAAAATCTGCAGGAACGATAAACAACAGACTTAGATGGTCGAGGAATTCAGGCAGGGGTGTGCTGGTCAGTCAGCACCTAACAGTTGACTCTGCGGCTGATTCTGAGCACCGACATGATGCCACTGAATGCAGAACTGGGAAGAAATATGCAGTGGCACCCCCTTTTATTATAGTTCACCATAGAGATATAATAGACATAAACTGCACAGGGAATAATAAAATATAGTAAAAGAATTAAGAAGTGATTAATTTTGAGTATTTACCACCTTTGCGTTTAATATAATTTAACTGTAAAATTATATAACTTAATTTTTAACGATGGCTGTGTTTAACAACCAGCTTGCAAAAGTTTTGGAAATTTCACATCAGCTCTTATGAGCCACGATGGCACAGATCCAGTACATCACTGATTCGGGTATAATAATGACTGGATACAGAATGTGAAGGATACTTTTACGTGAAATTTCCCAATTTTTAAATGATCGGGCCAAAAAATTTTTTAAAAACACACTTCTGCCAGTCAGAGTCAGCTGGCGGCCTGCCAGTTTGCAGCCTCCGATCTAGTCCACATTCTTGATTGAGGACACTTAGGCCCAGAGACGGGGAGAGATTTGCCTCTGATCACACAGTAAATCAGCTCAGACCCGGAGGCAAAACCAAGCCTGATTCTAACCACCAGGGCGGTGCTCCTCCAATTCCACTTTGGGGCCTAAAGCTCAGACTTTAAACCTGTTATTCTAACCTTGCAGAGCAGTAAAACCAGTGGAGAAGTTTCCTTGACAAAACTCCCACCGGGGTCCTCATCCCCAACCCCAGGAAAGGAAATTCTAGTTCTTTCCTTGCAATTCCTTTCCTCTTTCAAGTGCAGAACTATCGAGACATCACTGACCCCAAAATCAGCCATTCCCTGAAAGAGCCAGCGACTTACTTGGATTGAAGGGGTCGGTCACTGGGACACATCCAACGGTTGGCGCTGCTGCTGACTACGGTGTCGGTCATGGCAGAGGTCCCGTGACCCTGGAAAACATTAACCCACAGAGGACGTGACCCAAACAGTTATTTAACTGCTCCTTATTTCTCAAATCGCTGTTCTATGCCAAGTACTCCAGGGGGCACAGAGAAGAAAGGGGACTGCACCCAGCTTCTCCACCTTCCAGGCGGGGAAACTTAGGCCCCAAGAGAGATGGTTGCTGCTGGAGGTCGCGGCCCCCTACTGGCAGAAATGGGCCAGGGCTGAGCGCTGCCTCCCTTGAACCCACATTCTTCTCATTCACTGACTCAGTCAAGGGCACCACATACCCACCAGGGGGAAGGGGAGGGCTCCTAGTGGATCCTGGTTTCCCGGAAGGTCTTGCAACAACACAGCCTTGTTTTCCGGGAAGCTGAAGAGGTGAGAAGTTGGGCGGGGCACGGGGAGAGAATGCTTTCCTATCCTGCTGCCTGTGGAATTATTAAATCTTCGGGCGAGCGAAGAAGCCGGAGGGGAACTGATGGCTGGGTACCACACGGGGGAGGGGAGCCCCTATGGAGAAGCCATTTTTGTTTGCCCTTGTGTGGTTAACATAATCTATCCAGATTAATATGGTAATTTCATTGTTTCCACTTCAAAAACAGAAAGGAAGGAGAGATGGCTCTTGTTGCGAGAAGTCTGCTGAAAAGAGCCTTAACGTCTCGTCATTGCCTGTGCCCAGACCTGAGCGGGGGCTGCCCTGGGCCCCCTGGGGACTCTGGCCCCTGCTGAGTGCCCAGACCCTCTGGCCCTGGTAATGAGCTTCCTCGGCTGGCCCTGTGCTGGACTGTGGAACATTCACTTGAAAGCCTGGCCTCCTGCGGAATGTGGCCCTTGGAGGACCCTGGGAGGCAGGGAGGGCAGTGGATGCACAGTCCCGTCCTGGGAACTCCGCTGCCTTCAGGGCAGATCCTCCCTCTCCGGCATCCGGTCATGCACACCACGAGTCCATTTCCCATTAAAATTCTGCGCAAAGTCCAAACTCGCTGGCTGACTGCCCCATGGAAACCGGGCCAGGAGGCGGCCGGGACAGCACTGGTTATTTCGGCTTCGCCACTCGGGGCTCTCAAAGCACTTAACATCCCAGGATTGGACTCTCAGCCCAAGTCAACCGGGCCTGGGCCGGGAAATGGGACTGCCTGAGCAATTCGGGCATTTGAACTACCGGAGGGACAGCCCCAGATAAAGGTCATGTGCCTGGCCGCCAGCAGATCTGGGCTGGAGGTGCAGGTGGAGGGGAGCGGGCATCGCAGACACTGTTTATGCTCTTTGCAGGTGGTGTGCCCACCCCCAGCCGCTAGGAACGGTAGCAACTACGGGCTTGTAGCAGCACCATTTTCCAGAGACCTGTCCTCAGCCAACAAGAACAGCTGCCTTGCTCAGATGCCTAGGAGGCCACACTCACCCCTGGGAGCAGCCCAAAGCCAGTGACTAAGTGACAAGGGGAGAACATAAAAGCACAGCCCCCCCCTGCCACGAGGCGAGATGTCTCTGTCGTGCCACCACGCTCCAGGGCTCCCTGTGGGACCAAGATGAGGCCAAACTTCGGGGGAAGCCATACTCAAGCCCAGTCCTGAGTCCATCATGAGCACAAGAAACCCCATCTCAGGTTGTGCTCCTAGAGAACCTGACCTCACGTGGGAGTGGGAAGGGGAATCTTAGGGGTTCCGATTGGGGTTCCGATCGCCTAGATCATTATGCCACCCTAAGCAAGCCACTTAACCATTCATTATCCAGTCTTACAAAGTGTGATCCCAAGACGTTCTCCTACCTGCCTGCAGGTGACTCTCCATGAAGTTCAAGCAAGACCTCAGGTCTGAGGATGTGAAATGGAGAAAGTCCATTTGTGAGCCTCTGACACTTTCAGGTCATTGCCCACCACAGACAGAGCATCGGCATAATGAACAGGGGACCCGAGGCCCCAGGGAGGCCCAGGAGAGGGAAATTAGTTACTGATATCAAGAGTAAAAGCGGAGATGTAAGTGTCACATATAAAGTACAGGTTCCAGCCCTGGGACCACTGCGCAAACTTGGAGTCGCTGAGGCTGACTGAGGTTGATCAAGCGCCTACCACGGTTCCTGACACACGAGCACTTGTAGACTGGTAACCCCTTCTCCTATTCTCCCAGACTATAGTTTATCCAACAGTAAATGAACATTTCTTGAACACCTACTATGCGCTGAATTCCACACTTTCAGTATTTACTTTAATACTTATAACCTTACTGGTCGATAGGTTGCATTATCCTCATTTCGTAGGTGAGAAAGCCGTGGCTCAGAGTGGTTAAGCCACCGGCTCGAAATTGCACAGCTACCAAGCAGCAGAGCCGGGATGTGAACTGTCCCCAAAGCCCACGTGCCGTTACCCACCACTGGGTTCACACCGGTAGAACAGTCCACCCTGGGCATGAGATTGTCGAGTTCGGACGAGCACCTGCGGGGGCTGGTGACTGCACAGTCCTGGCGCTCCGGCCCCTGGCTGCGTGCCCACTCTCAGCCTCAGGAACAAACCGAGACCTGCCCCCTCAGGCCCCCCCGCCTGGCGAACCCAAGAGATCACAGCTTTGGCTTCGTTAGGGCCACGGCCATGGCTTCTGTCCAGTGCTGCAGCTACAAGTTCGAAAAGCATAAAACACCTACCTCCCCTGGGAGCTAGAGGCTCCGCCTCTTTTTTCCCAGGCGCAGGCTCCCTCACAGTCCCGGCGCATGCGCTAAGGATCAGACCGCTTTTAGTAACAAAAGCGACGACAGGGAAAACCGCTGGTTCAGACATCGGGGGCCAGCTACATGGCGAGTGCCTTTCAAATGTTATCTCATTCAGTCCTCACAGTCACCTTACGAGGAAGACGTTCATCTTATCCCGTTTGACAGATGAGTAACTGAGTCATGGAGCGTCTACGTGGGCTTCCCGAGGTCCTGCTTCAAGCCTCGCAGCGAAACAATCTCAAGGCCCCTAATAATAAGCCCTGGCGAGCTGAACGCCGGTGCCTCTGCACAGCGGAGTACTACGCAGCCATGAAGAATGAGACTCTTTATGCCAGGTATGGACTGATCAATCTAAATTGTCCAATGAAAAGATCAAGGTGTATGACAATGTTCCAGAACAATACTATTTGCACTGGAGAAAGCAGGCTCTGTGTGTGTGATTGTGGGTCGTATATGCATAAAAGATCTCTGCAAAGAACGCACAAGAAACTGATAACACTGTTTGCCTCTGGGGGGAGGAAATGGGTAGTTGGGACCGAGATGGGAGGGAGAGTTTTCATAACGCACCCCTATGTATCTGCGGCCATGTGGCTATGTTAGGAATAAAAAAATAAACATTTATTTTTTAAAAAAAAATGATTGGAAAATAATAAAGTGCTTCAATGGCTGCCTATTGCCCATAAGATATAAGATCCTCTCTGTGACCCCAAAGAACTGTCACGACCCTCTGCCAGCCCCCTCTGATCACGTCCCAGTCACACCAGCCTTTCCGGCCGCCCAGCCGTCGCCTCCGCCATTCTCTCTGCCTTGACAGCATCTTCCCCCTAATTCTCACGCGAACGGTCCCTTCACGTGCTCTGCTAGTCTCTGCTCCAATGTCCCCTCTTCCAGGAGTACACTGAGTCACCTCCTCTGATCCCATTACTCACCCTCACTGCATCCTGCGTGTTTCTTTTCTGTTTATGATTTATAATTATTATTTTTATTTATTTGCTGTTTGTCTCTCCACCTGTTCATGAAAACAGGACCCAGGTCTGTGTTTACTCAACAGCTGCGCCTCTTTGCAGGCACGGCCAGCTTCATGGGCCTGTGACCTATCGGTCACACAGGACTCGCGCATAGAAGGACTCGATGCTTAGAAGGGCTCTGCGCTTGGCTTAACATGCTGCTGTCATTGTCTTTAAATTCTTAATAATTTTTGGACAAGGGGACCTGCATTTTCACTTTGCAGCCGGTCCTGAGTATGCTATGTATAGTAGGGGCTCAATATATCTTCACTTAAGTCACAGAGCTCAGTGAGTGCAATGGGCACTCAATAAATCTTCATGTAAGTGGCAGAGCCATGCCTTGCTCCAGCTCTGCCCACCTCTAGCACTTGGTGCTAACCCTGATGCCACCTGTATCTTAAACTGTCATGAAGACCGCACTCCATGCCCAGAACCCCCTGCTCCCCTTTTGCATTTTGTTCTGCTTACTTCTCCCCAGGCTCCTTTAGTACTGTTTGTTAAGGAACGGTGCTTCCATTCCCCAAAATCTCAGCTGTTTTTAGCTGAATGAAAAAACAACTCTTAAAGCGCATTTAGCTTCAGAGCCACAGCAGGTGTCTGGGCCTGACGCAGCAGGGCTGGGCTGGGCTGGGCTTTAGGCAGCACTTTGGGGCACTGCAGGGAACTGGCGTGAGCTGCAGCTGTCTGTGCGGAGTTCAATGCCACAGTCGGCCTTCCAGCCCTATAGTCTTGGAATTAAACCAGATACTTCACGGCGGAACCTGCGGCCACCAGCTTGGAGGGGACCCAGGCAGTTCCGTCTCT